CCATTTCATGTCTGAATAAAGACTACAGCAGAAACTGTTTTTTGATAAACTCAGAACTTTTTGGCAAATGTGAACTCTTGTGATGAGTTACTGTTTGGTTATGACACTAAAAAGCCCTGCCTTTGGGAAATAATCCCATTTTAGAACTCTGATATTTGTTTAAACTGTTGCTACTTTGCTGGGGAAGTCTGATAGGATTTTAGAATTAAAAATATGCTGGGACTTGTGCGCTGTTCCAATGCTTTTTGCATGTTGTCCTCAGTAAAAATATTTCTAGACCAAAAAAATAGCCAGAGCACAGAACCACGGCTCTGTTTTTTTCACAATTCCTTTAAAGACGTGCCCTTATCACTCTGGCTAAACAAACAAACTATCAAATTTCCTTTTTCCGCTGGTGTTGTCAGTTGAATAGAACTTAAGCGTTCATATTTTTTGTGCATGCCTATACGTTCCAAGCTGTGTATTCCTTAACAGAGAACACATTGCATTTTTGTATTCCCTTTCATCTGCTGCTGTGCAAGTACTTTGTAAATGTTGGCAAATACTAGGTATGTTCTAGGATGTAAGAATATTTGTCAAGTCAGAGCAAAGGTCCATCTAGCCCAGTACCAGGTCTCTAACAGTGACCAATAGTAGATAGGGAAGTTTTTAAGAACTAGGCAAACGTGTTTTGATACTTTCCCTAAATACACTCTCAGCTACTGAGAATTTGTGACTTAGGAGCTTTTTTGAGCCAAAAGTGTTATTTTGGTATATACAAGGCTTTGATGAATTATCTTTCACTTACACGTCTAGTTGCTTTCTGAACTTTTAGCTGACAGCAAAACAAAGGCACGCAAAGTTGGAAGTTCTTTTCTCATTTCACAGAGGACTAGTCTGATAAATTTACAGAGCAGCTGTAAAGACTATGAAGCCAGCATGAAATGTTTTCTCTACGTATCTGATCAGATGGCTCCAGGATCAAGCATTTGTTCGCTACAGGTTTTCCCTCAGGTAAACAAGAACGTTTAATGCGTTACAACTGTATTATAACAGACCTCTCCAACTGTGGCAAATGATCAGCGTTCTTGAATAGCGTTGGAAAACGTGGCTTTGTTTTCATCACAAATGCTCTGAGTTACAATACATAAATCCTAAAAATTGTTTTTCCAAGTCCCTGGCTGCTGAAATTGTCAGAAGTAACACATTTGCAAATAGGAGAGGAAGCACAGAAAATGTGAACTAGCCTTTGGTAAAAATCCATGAGTCTTAAGCTATAAATAACAATAAGTACTTGGATCCGCTAACTCTTAATTACCAGACATTGCATGATTGCTTTAGTTAAAACTAACCTAATGGTTTATTTAAAAGTCATTTTGATGCTTCAGCATAACTAAAACTTTTCATCTGTTTGACGTTTGAGTTCTAGTCTTGTGTTGCTCAAATTTTTTCTGAATGTTTGAGGTAAAAAAAATGGGGGAAAGCACATCAGAAGTCTGGGACGTGGATGCTTAAAATAAAAAAACAAAGCAGCTTTATTACTTCTGCTTTTCAACCCTTCTCCTTAAAGTGTTGAAAAAATTCTCATCCTCTCTCTAGGATGAGAATTAGTTTCCTCTAAGAACTGTTAATGTATTTTGCTGGGCAGCCTCTGCTATTTTGGAGTTTAGACTAGTACTTTAAAGCATGTAAATATTCTTGATACCTTAATTAAAGCACACAGCTAGATTATGACAGTATAGATAGTTTGGACTAATCAAGTGAGTATCTAAAATGTTTGCATAATAGTCAACAAAATTTAACTGAACAAATGGGTGATGCTGTGAATGAACATGCACAGGCATACTGTTGTGCCAAGTTCCATAAACTTAAGTGTAAAGTTTTTGTTGGAAAAAACAATGCTGAGATGCATTCCTTATTTCCACACTGTGCCACTGATCCCAAGGAACTTTATGCAAGTAAGGGATTTGCTCACAAAACCTGAGAGATCGGGTCTTTATTTTGATCATATTAATACCCAAAGTCTGTCTCTCATACATTGAGGGTGAGTGAAGAAGTGAGATTTTTTTCATTAATCTGAAGCTAGGCTGCAAAATGAAATCACCTGTAAAAAAAAAGTAAGAATGTAGATAAAACATTGATATAAAAGAAAAGATTCAAACGAAATATATGAAAGTATATTCTGAAGTAATCTTACATCTGCTTATGTGTCTTTGCTTCTAGAACACCTTCCTTTTAACATCAGTAATGTATTTTTTCTTCGTATCATTAGTTCCAAAAACAAGAGATCTTTCTGAACTACTTTATTCTTGCTAAGCAACAAAATTTGTTGTCAATTTTAAACTACTGTGTGTGTATTTTTTACTAGCTGTGGTAGGCTCTTGCCATCCTTGGGAATGTACAGTCGTCCTCTTACTGGATAGGGGAAAGTGCTTTATGTATTTACTAAAAATTATGATACCTCAGCTGTGCTAAATTACATATTAAGTAGTCACTGTGAGATCCTATAGACATGTATTTGAGAGGCTTAAACCGAAATCAGATACCATGTCCTTCAGCGTGGCAAAGGAGAAATTACTTTGTTTTCTAAAGTTTTTCAACTATCTATCCATGCAGATAATCCCAAATCAATTTAGATATCAAAGTGTTTATCACAAAACCTCTCAAAAGGAGGTTATTTTTTACCCACAACGTGCAATGAACCTATAACCAGTAAGTGGAACAGTGCAAGCACTCTCTCTCTCTCATGAAATATTTTCACATATGTACATTAATGGGACACAAAAGATGCAATCCTTTATAATTTCTCAGTACGCAAATTCTTCACAGCCACTTCCTGCTCAGTAGAGCTCACAATTTAAATACAGTATGCAACAATAAAAAATGAATAGAAGAAAATGGAAGTTACCTCCCACAACAATTCAAGCCAGTTATATGCTTCCTATAACCATAGGTACGTGAGTTAGGGTCCTTTTTTATTTGAAAATAATCCCTACTTTAACTTCTTCTATAAGCTAAAAAAAACTTGTCAGCCATTCTCCCCCAATTTGTTTGCAATCCCTCAGCAGCTTCCTTTTGCAGAACTTATCTTGGATCATTTTCTAGTGTCTCTTGAGGAAACAGCTCGCTGTCAGTGGTAGCATTTCATTAAGTCCTGCCATCAAAGAAGGCTACTGTATCAAAGTATGGGCTACTGTATCAAAGCTAGCATCAGCTCAAGTCCAGTCAAGTAGTACATTCAAGACACATAGCAAGACATAGCATTGCTACTCTTGCTTTCTTAACAGGTAATACCTATCCTCTCTGCTTTTACTCAGAAAAAATAGAGCTACAGTCTTTCCACCAGAAGCACTCAGTCATATCGATATCTCAGTCCTACAGCGTACCTATGACATGAGATCACATATGCTAACACAAATTATTAATATTAGCAAGTTATATAATTATGATGTGCCAAGGCTCTCTGAACATGGCTGTAAATTATATTTCCCTGGATTTGTCCGGAGATATTGTGATTTCCACTTTAGCATGTAAAGCAAAGTTTTGAAAGTGTTATTTTACATACAAGTACCTAAAACAGGTTGTGAGCACATCATTGGTTTTTTTTAGCTTTGTTTAGTTCACAGGCAGTTACCAGACCAGAGAGGCTTTGAGTTACCTTTTTATTCCCCTCTTTCCTTAACATTTTTCTTCTGTTTAAATACTGATAAATCTTCTGCAAATCAAGTGATTTGTCTGCAGAGGCATTATAGATCTGCTAGCATTTCTTTTGCCTCCTACAATACATTCCAATAGGAAATTTAACTTGATTTTTTGCACTAGCAATTTGGGACTTGTTTTGCCATTAAAGACACCAATAACTGGAAAGAAATCAAGTGACAACAGTGACAGAGAATTGAAAGGGGAGGTTTATTAAGTGAAAGAGGAAGATCTAGTAAAACTTTTAACGAGGTAGGCTAAGATGCTTGGTATTGATTCGTACCCCGCCCATGCATTAAGAGAAGGTATAGATAACGTACGTTTCCCAATATCCAGATATCTTCTACGAAACAGGAAAGACTAGACAATTTCTAGGAGGAATAAATACAGAAAAAAAGCCTATTAAAAATTCAGGCCTTCTTTGTACATCATAGAGGAACACAATGGAACAACTTTGATAGAGGTTTGCAAGTCACTTGTGTTTCTTTTTTAAAGATTTAGGCATGGGTAGCTAACACATCACATCATTAACTATTCTGCTCTCCCCCTACCTGAAAACAGATTAAACTGAAATTACAAATTGTTAAAAAGCTCCCTCCCATCCAGAGTTAGGAAGCTGTCCTAAACTTTGGATGTCTTACATTGGTAATGACTAGACAACAGTAGGAACAGATGCCTGAAGTAGATGTAGCTTGTATTTGTAATCAAGTTTTAACTGGTGCTAAAATTACCCTACAGTATATTAAGCGGGTGAGAAAAACATTTCCAAATCCATTACAATCTTGAATGTGATGTGGTTGATTTTGTTGAACAAGTCTATTCACTGGTAATTAAAGAGCATCTTTTCTGAAGGTAGTAGGTACAAGTAGATTGATCATGCCTCTTATTAAAAATCTAGACACAGTAATGATAATTAAACAAGACTCTTTCTATGCCTGACCTTACTTTAAAAGATTTGTCTTGTCATGACAGTAGTTGCAATGATTTTGAATCAACTAAAGCCATTTCTTTTCAGCTGATGAATTTGGTTCAGAATTAAACAGGGTTCAACTTTTAAGAGGGTTCACTCTTATAAATCAGATTAGATTCATATATCTTTTTTAACAAAATAATTTGTAATCCTTTAAAAACACCTATAAAAAAGGTATATGATAATCCAATTTTCAAAACTCCCCGTCTTAAATATATTTGTATTTCCTATTAGCATATAAAAAGGGAAAGGAAGAGTTGTCATGCAAATATTCTGAACAGTCAGATAATATTCAGTAGAACCAATAAGCACACAAACTTTTCAGTAATCATTCTAACTCTCCTCTTTAGTAGCATACAAGCTAGGGTGCAACTTCAGTTCCCCGACAGTAAATTGATTTCTTGTTTGAAAACCCTAAAAAGCACCATGCAAATGCTGATCTATTTCCACTTTAAGTCACATATTAGTGCTATATGATCAGAGGGATGGGAAACACTTGGCAAAGCCTGATGGGTCGTTACTTCTTCGTGACTTGGCAATGGAATCACCTGTTCAACCTCTAGAGCATTTTTGTCAATGAAAATGTAGTCCAGACATCCATGAAACCCACCAACATAGTTTGTATAAGCAGGCTCTCCACAAGCACTTTGCAGTTTGAAAGGATGACTTAGTGGCATGTTGCACCTTTCTTCTTCTCCATTGGAGACCCAGTCTTCATGATCTTCAGCAATACTACCACTGTTAATAAAACTGTAAGTCCCAGATGACGGTGTACTATTAAAATCTCCACAGAATATGATTGGAATGCTAGGATACAAATCACATGCTATATGCTTGATGTGAGACAAGGCTATAGCAATTTGGATGAGACGGATGTTCCCACCTAAAAATACAAAAACGTGTTACTTGGAACGCTTTGTAGTAGTGCTGGAAGAGTTTTCAAAACTGCTCATTTAAGCATATACCATATGTAGCTCTGAAATACTACTCTGGCTTTAATCCTCTCTGCACTGTCTTTCAGAATAGTTTTCATAAATAAAGAAGCCTTTAAGGTGTGTGACTATCAAAATTTTACAGAAGCAGGCTATGCTTTAAATTAAGTTCACGAAAATGCAAGAACTGTGAACTTTAAAGATCCGTATTTCAGCAACATTCAGATTAAGATCAAAAGGCTACATGATTTAAGACTAAGGGTGCGTTTCAATACCATTGAGGCCTCCAGTCAGCCCAAGGCATAAGGTCACTTAGTTGCACACCACTCACTTCCTTCCCGGCAACCAGGCTAATAGTGTTCCTGAAAGGTAAGGAGCTGAAAGAAAACCAATTCAGAGGAGGAGAGTCTCTTCCAATAGGCCAATTTAGTTCCCCTTCAGGCAGTATAGCTCCTTCAGATACAAGGGGATGCAGCAGCCAAGAGCACACACAAGTAACATTTTATTTTATGATCTACACTTTGGGTGGATCGTGTGCAATGTGACTGCCTTGCTTCCAGCTATACTTTTACTGATTTCCAGGCAAACTAGAACAACCCTGCTAAAAGGAAAAAAACAAAACAAAACAAAAAAATCTAGTGGCCTATTTTTACCCATCAAGATAAGTGAAGCAGAAAGTCCTTAGTGCCTTAAGATTACAGCTGTGAAAGAATAGGGAGAAAGCTAGTCAAAAGGTGAAGCAAGAATGAATGAAGTTCTCGTCTGAGCTTCTGATGCAGCAGAAGGAAGAAACCAACCCTACAGAGCCCAGTTATCCTACGTACAGAACTGTGACAAAAGTTACCTTTTGGATGCCAGTACAGATGAGTATTCGCTACACAAATCTTCCTGGAAGGATCAGTTGCAGACTGAAGAACTGAAACCTGCATTTAAAAAAAAAAAAAAAAAAGGAATATTTCCTAAGTGTCCTAAGTCTTAAATGAGATTATATATTTTTTAAATAGTATTAAAAGCTTGTGCCTTTGTGGCAAGCCAGTCCAAAGAATCCAACGCTTATAACTAATGAATGGTACAGCTCAGAAGTTGAGTCTATTTCTCCTCCGTATGAGGTCAGGATATCAGCCAATCTATTACTGATATTACCACTACAGAATTCCACTCACATCCAGATATTTGACAAATGCTCTTCTGCCTATTATGTCTACCGTTGAGCAATATATTTTCCTTCAGTTCATTCCATCTTTTTTCCTAAGATGCTGCTAATGCTCTGCCATTCTTCACTACTTCTATTTTCTATTCTCCCACCTCTGCAACATAATTGGAGCTGTATTTCTGTTTCTAGCATGCAAACTGTAGAATAACGTACTTGTGAAATTAAGCTTAAATGTTGAGCTTGACCTCAGTTATCAAGGAAAGCTTGTTATTCCTATTCAGGCTAGGAGTAAGAAACCTTACAGCGGTAAGTGTCCCTGAAATTCCTCACACAGGCCTTGATCTTGCAAGTACGTACACATGCTTAACTCTGCAAGCAGTCTCACTGGCCTCAACAAGTTCAGAAACTTGTTCAACCTTGTTTCCTTCTCTACTATCACCTTTTAGAGTGGCATTATTGAAGCAAACTAAATTAAGTTAATCTGATTTAAAACTGGCAGGATTAAGTTTTACCAATTACATATTCTGAAAGACAGAAGAGAATAAATAAGTAGTGAACAAGTTTGAGGAACTGTGAGATAAGTGAACACCCCAGACCAGCACTCAGCATCTGACCCAAAATCTCCACAGCTGATTTTACCTTAAAATTAAGAAAATCCATTTGCCTTTTTTTCCCCAAGTGTCAAATATCATTCCATAGATTCAGTTGGGTAAAGTCTCACTGCTAACGTTTTGTTCTTTCTGGTCCGCAAGTTGCTTTTCTGCCCTATTGGCTTACACCACCCAACTGAGAAGACAACACTGCTGACTCCTGTCTCCGCTTCAGATGGTTAGTAGTTTAGCTCCCTTCTTCCCGCAGGAAGGCACTCGGCACACCTAGCTTATCTCTTGGAGGTGGTGGGACGAGGAGAGGGGAAAGAGCGCGCGCAAAGCCAGTACCTGCAGCACGGACGATCTCTGGAGCACCTTCTCCTGCACCAGGGGGTACTCGGCCAGCTTCTCCCGCAGCTGCCTGTGCACCGGGTCGGAGAGCAGGGCTTCGCTGAAAGCGATGTCGTGCCGGCTGAGGAGGCCGAACTTGTCCCTGCGGTAGAAAGTGGCCAGGCCCTCGTGCTGCTTCTCCTTGATCTTGAAGAGCCCTTCGAGTCCGAAAGCATCCAGGGCTGGGGCCAGGCTGTCGGCGAAGACGGCCTTGTCGACCTCTTGCAAGCAGATGAGGTCGGCGCTGTAGCCGGCCAGCTCCTTCTTGAGCAGGTTCTGGCGGTAGTCGAGCTCGAGGGCGTAGGGGGCGCAGTAGGGGTAGAGCACGGTGCGCGAGAACTCCGTCTGCGCGTACGCGTCGGCCAGGATGTTGTAGGAGACGGCGCGCAGGCGGCCGGCGGGGCAGACCCGCGCCGTGTAGAGGTGCCGCGCGTCGAAG